ATTTTCGTGTGATTGAATATTCGCATAGAATAATCCGGCTAACCTTCCTCGTGATACGACCCGGTGTCGAATCTTTGGATTCTACTCCGGTTAAAAATATTTACAACAAAAACCTTTGTTAAAAGACTAAAGACTAACTCACCACCGTCAAGTATTCGACCTGAGTCGACCAACGAACTAACGAATTAGTGGAGACATAGTTCAAGATAGGCTACCAAAAAAATCTTTATTACCTGTCAAAGATATATAATAATAGTAGCAAATACGAAAAGTTCTCGAAGAGAATGGCAGTTTGTATAACATTAATTTAATAGCACTGCCCTTACCTTTAAATAATAAAGTATAATTTTCTTTTTCTTTTCTCAACAACCAATCGCCCGACGACACGTCACCTCCCATGAACTTTCTTCTTTGTTTCTTGCAACTACTGTTAATTCTGTTACCACTCAATCTTTCCCTATAAAATCCACCATTTTCCCCATAGCCAAAATGAACAAACTCAAACACACAGTTGAAGCACAACAAAGATCATCAATTTCCCATATTCACAAAGCTATATCATCAAAAAATTGTCCCTTTTTAAAATCCCTTTTAACACTCTCAAAAAATCATCAAACTCGCCTGTTAATAATTTCTAGTCTCCATCTCTAAAATCCCCTGTTTTTTTTCATTTTTTCACCAGAAAATGGCGCCAAGCCTCATAAAAAACAGTTCCAACTCCTCTGTTTTCCCCAACGGCTTCACGAGCTCGATTTTCGCCCTCAAAGACTCAAATTTCACGGTCAACGGCCATGTTTTCCTCTCCGAAGTCCCGTCGAACATCACCACCGCCACGATTCCCTCCGGCTGCTTCGTCGGGTTCGATTCCGACGAGCCCGCCAGCCGCCACGTCATCCCCATCGGAAAACTCAAGAACATCCGGTTCATGTCCATTTTCCGGTTCAAGGTCTGGTGGACCACACACTGGGTGGGGTCAAACGGGTCGGACCTCGAGCGGGAGACCCAGATTCTCCTCCTCGACAGATCCGATTCGGGCCGGCCCTACATCCTCCTCCTCCCGCTCATCGAGGGCCCGTTTCGGGCCTCCCTCCAGCCCGGTTCCGACGACAACATCGACCTATGTGTCGAGAGCGGGTCAAGCAAGGTTATTGGGTCGAGCTTCCAGGCCGGGCTTTACTTGCACGCGGGGGACGACCCATTTACCCTGGTGAAAGACGCGGTCAAGGTGGCCCGTCGCCACCTCGGCACGTTCCGTTTGCTCGAGGAGAAAACTGCGCCCGGGATTGTGGATAAGTTCGGGTGGTGCACGTGGGACGCGTTCTACCTTACCGTGCACCCTCAAGGGGTTTGGGAAGGAGTTAATGGGCTTGTCGAGGGCGGGTGCCCACCAGGCCTTGTGTTGATAGACGACGGGTGGCAATCCATTTGCCACGACGAGGACCCGATCACGTCCGAGGGGATGAACCGGACCTCGGCCGGGGAGCAAATGCCGTGCCGGCTAATCAAGTTCGAGGAGAATTACAAGTTTAGGGAGTACAAGAGCCCGAACAAGGATAGGCCCGGCCCGAACACGGGGATGGGGGCCTTTGTGAGGGACCTCAAGGAGAAGTTTGGGAGCGTGGACTATGTGTACGTGTGGCACGCGTTGTGTGGGTATTGGGGTGGGCTGAGGCCCAACGTCGCAGGCTTGCCTGAGGCGAAGGTGATCAAGCCCAAGTTGACGCCTGGGCTTGAGACCACGATGGAGGATCTGGCCGTGGACAAGATTGTGAACAATGGAGTTGGACTCGTCGCACCGGAATTTGCAGACAAGATGTACGAGGGGTTGCACTCGCATCTCGAGTCCGTGGGGATTGACGGAGTCAAAGTTGATGTCATCCATGTAAGTATATTATGGCACAAATATTTCTTATAGGCTATTTTGCAGTTATTTATTTGAAAAATGATCTTAATTACGAGGCTTTGAATTTTGTTTTACACTTAGTTGTTGGAGATGTTGTGCGAGGACTACGGAGGGAGAGTTGAGTTAGCAAAAGCTTACTACAAAGCGCTGACTTCTTCAGTGAGGAACCATTTCAAAGGGAATGGTGTGATTGCAAGCATGGAGCATTGTAATGATTTCATGTTCCTAGGGACAGAGGCCATTTCACTTGGCCGCGTTGGTGAGTTTTTCTTAAGCATGAAAATCTCTTTTAATTGATTAGTAATTTAAAACATTCATGTAAAATTGATGATAGAATTTGAGTATTCTTAAGAAGTTTGTTTGGACATTGGTCTCATACCATTCTTACAACTAATCGTCAAACGAAACGAACAGCTCGTGATCTCGACTTGATTAGTAATGCTCGAAATCAAAAAAAATTCTCTAGCTTGGCTCGTTAAGGCTTTCGAGCTCAGCTAATTTGATTTATACCTACTAAACATGATCGAATTCGAACTTGATTGAATCAGGGGACGATTTCTGGTGCACCGACCCGTCGGGCGACCCGAACGGCACGTTCTGGCTGCAGGGCTGCCACATGGTCCACTGCGCCTACAACAGCCTCTGGATGGGCAACTTTATCCATCCCGACTGGGACATGTTCCAGTCGACCCACCCGTGTGCCCTCTTCCACGCCGCCTCCCGAGCCATCTCCGGCGGGCCCATCTACATCAGCGACTCAGTCGGTAGCCACGACTTCGACCTACTCCGGCGACTCGTCCTCCCCGACGGCTCGATTCTCCGCTGCCGCCATTACGCTCTCCCGACCCGCGACTGCCTGTTTGAAGACCCTCTCCACAACGGCATCACCATGCTCAAAATCTGGAATCTCAACAAGGTTTGTTATGTTATTCGTTTATATCTCTTTGACTGTTGGATTCTCAATAGGTTTACCTCGTTAGAAAGGCCCATCCTGCAAGCTTTTCAAATGACACCACTCAATATAAAACTTGGATATTTTGATTATCGAAAAAGTTAACTGAAGTTTTTATGTGTGCCTTGCTTCTTCTTTGTCAATGTATTATCGATCTTATACTTTTCACGAGTCGATAAACCGCATCACATTTTGTTCGTATAATTTGTTAATTGAGTTAAAACATCCCATCTTGTTCGTATTATTCATTATCTGAGTTAAAAAGTAAATGTTAGTGTAATGGTAGATTTTTATAATAAAGGATGCAAATTGTGGTTTTCATGTATTTTGGAATGTAATATGTTGACCGAGTTTGATGATTTGTTTTGGCCAGTTCACGGGCGTGGTGGGCGCCTTCAACTGCCAGGGCGGGGGTTGGAGTCGGGAGGAGAGGCGCAACAAGTGCGCATCGGAGCACTCGAAGCCCGTCTCCTCATCAGTGGGCCCAGGTGACGTCGAGTGGTGTCAAGGCCAAATCCCGATTCCGGTCGAGGGTGTTCGGACTTTCGCCATGTACTTTTACCGCAAGAAGGAGCTGATCCTGTCCGAGGCATTGGGCACAATCGGATTATCCTTGGACCCGTTCGATTTCGAGCTGATAACGGTGGGCCCCGTTCGTGCCCTACCTGGAGGTTGGGTGCAGTTTGCGCCAATCGGGTTGGTGAATATGCTCAACTCCGGTGGGGCTATACAGTCGATTGTGTTTGACGAGCGTAGTGAAGGTGTTGTGCGAGTTGGAGTGAAGGGAAGTGGAGAGATGAGGATTTACGCTTCGGAAAAGCCAGCTCAGTGCAAGGTGAATGGGGAGAGGGTGGAGTTTGTATACGAGGGTGGCATGGTCGTGGTGAACGTGCCCTGGCCCGATTCTTTGGGCATATCTCTGGTCGAGTATTTGTTTTGAGTCATTCTTTTCTTTTTGTACTTTTGTTTTGAAGATGTTGTTTTGACATTTCAGTGTAATTTGTGCTTGAAGCAAAGAATGTATGTTCAAAAGTAATGAAAGTTTGCATAATTTATAGTTTGTCTACGACTTATTGTGACTGTAAGATCAATTATATTGCTCCGTTTCTTACTGCTGCACAAGTTAACTGGGATGAAAATGAAATCTCCAAAACTACATACCTTGCTGAAGAGTAAAATATGAGCACAATCCAACACACATCTAAAAACAAACTTCAATCTACAAATCCAACACCGTCAAACCTAAAAACTCCTATTCATCAACACGTACATATATATATAACGACGTTGATAAGGTAATCGTCCAATAGCCCCGGTCCAACGTGAATAACTTCGGTCTCGGGTCTTAATTCCACCTCGAGTTTACCGAGCTGACTCGTTGGGTCACTTGAAAAGGCGTCGTGAGCCTTCTCAACATAAAGTGATCCGATGATAAAATTAGTTTTTTAGTCAAAGAAGATAATATATCAAGCCTTATGAAATGGTGGTAGTCATGTATGATAAAAAAAAAAAAATTGAATTTACTTTTAAGACATAAAATTTAAATTTATTTATCTGTATACACGAAGTCTTAAAATTTAAATTTATTTATCATTGGTTGATTTACTTTTAAGACTTTTTTTTTTAAAATTTTAAAGTCAAAATACACACTGAATTTTATATAATAGGAAATACTCATTTTTTGGAATTGACAAGTCTTAAATTTTAATGACTTTTAAAAATTTAAAAATATAATAATATGAATCAGAAAATCTTAAAATTAAAAAAATAAATAAATTAAGATGTCACTTAAAATTTTGAACAAAATAGACATTATAGTTGATTATTGCATTTTGCACCCCAAACTTGGAGTTATTAAAAAACGACTACACATTTCTCAGTTTTCTTCTAATTCAATTTTGCTTTTTCTTCTATCCAATCCCCCAAAATTGTAAAACCCATCATCAGGCATTGGCATCCTCCATTACAGAGAGAGAAAACTCGTGTACATAAATACAGAAGAGGAGAAAGAGTTTGAGAATAATTTTGTTATGTTATTAATTTGAACCCGCAAATGATTGAGATATGTACGATACCTATCTGGAGAAGAAGATTCAGAAATCCAAACCCTAGGCGAATAGCATTTATCTGGTTTGCTTCAGCCTGCTTCAGGTTCATCTTCATTTTCAGTTTTCAATTGCGTTGATATTTTTTCACACGAGTTTCAACGTGCTATTGGTTTTGCCGGTTGTTCAGTTACGCAATCAGGTGCTATGATTTCATCTGTTTTTGATGGTCTTGAATATGTGGTCGAAAAAATGTGCATTGGTTTAATGGTCATCTGTATCTGCAAAAGATTGTTTGTTATAAATTTTTGATGAATTTATGGTTCTGCGAAATTCTGGAGAGTGTGCCTTTGAGTGGTTGATTCTGTGAGTATCTATGGATTTTGTGGAACTTATTGAAAAATGGGCGTGTCTACAGTATCTTTGATTGTATTTCCTTGTTTCCTAGCTGTTGATGTGTGATAATAATATGCCCGTTTAGTTCGATCCTAATTGTAGCATGTGTCTGAGAGTTTAATGGTTAAGTTGCCACTGGCTGTCAAAAATGTGGTTCGACTGTTTTTGAAAAAAGTTATTGGCTATACGTCAACTGATGTGTCAGATAATGACTTAGACGTGTCAGATCGAGGAAATATTGAGGTCCCGAAATTTAATTTATGAACCCTTTTATGGGATTTATTCGAAAGATTCGTATGGAAAGATGTTTCCGCTGTTAGTGACACGTGTAGCTATAATGATTGAAATGGTTGTCTGTCCTAGTTTGAAAGCTAAATTAGCATCTTCATGAATATCGATGTTTTTATCTCAATTCAAGAAGGTTATATCTACTATTTGGGTTATTAAGTGACGTTCCAGTCGTTATATTGAGTCTTGAGATTACTAATTCTATATACATGGTAGTTTACCCAGTAATTTGCTCTTGTGAAATTGCAAATCCCCATCAAAATCCATTAGGAATTTAGAGTTAGCACATCCTAAGAGTTTTGTACTTACTCTCAAAATTAGAGTGTGGTAAACCATTCTGGAGTTAATGCAGTTAGGGTTTTCGCAAGTTAAAGGTTGGTGGGATAATTATGCAAACTAAGCTGAAGAAATATGAAAATCATATTTTAATTCAGTATGAGTATGATGGTGACAGTTACATGAACAAAGAAATAGGAGGTATTTTACAAAGTGCATTTTCAAACAGGAAGTGACCGTGTTGTGTGATGTATTACTGAAATTATCATTTTATTCATAGCTGCTAACTGAATTTAATATTTATATTTATTGCTTTCATCTTGTATCCAGGAAAAAAAAAAGTAATGAGTTGCCTGCACAATGGCAGTGTATGCCCTTTTTTTTGCATGAACTAGAAAACCACATTATTTAGAAGATAATTAATCATTTCCTTTTTCCTTTTTCTTTATTTCTTGAAATGCGTTGAGATAGTTAATCTGGTATTTATGTTCTTCTCATGGTTATTGAAATCATTGGAACTTCATAAATTTGAGGCTGTTATTCTATGCCAGGTGATCATCCCTTACAAGCTTCTGTTTCTCACATTGGCTCTTCCCTGATTATCGACCCTGCTTCTTCCGCTTCTGGATTTAGATGTTTAATCAATTCATTTGATTACATTAACAAATATCCTGGAAGGCTAGACTTCTCGACAAGCCTATAGATATTGTTTCTTGCAAAGAATTTCATGGAGCTCAAGGTTTCTCCTGAAAAACCAGGATTTTCATCTTCGGATGTGGCCAGTGATCCCGAGGATAAAGTGATCAGTGACGGTGAGGATGAGGACGATGACCGTAATCACAAACACCGTAGGCGGGAGGCACATTCACATTCTCTTGAAGAGGACTCTCTCGATCAGGGTTTAACAAGACCGTATAAAAAAAGGAACAGGCCTTTCGAGAATGGTTTTTCATACAGGGAAGGTGATCGTCAAGCAGGTGAAACCGGGAGGACTTATGATAATGCTTCGGGTAAAGACTTCCCCTCGAGGTTCGATAAGAGGCGTTTGAACCATGCCTCGATCTCCAAATCTCCCCTAGAACTGCACCAAAGAGTTAGAGGTAGGGGAAGGGAGCCTATTTCCTGGGGCGTACATGACTCAAGGCTTGGTTTGGCTGATATTCCATCACAAATTGTTCAGCCTGGATATGTTCCTTCTGCTTTGTATGCCGGGAGAGGCTTGCCTAATGTTTCTAACACACCGAATACTTCGTGGAATGCATTCGGATTGGTTCCAGGCATACCTAATGGGGGGTTTGACCCACTTCACTCCCTAGGTCTGCCAGGGGCACTTAGACCAGCTATTAATCCTCCAATGAACATTGGACTTCAAAGGCAGCGCTGTAGAGATTTCGAGGAACATGGTTTTTGCCTAAGAGGGGACATGTGCCCAATGGAACATGGAGTTAATCGTATTGTAGTTGATGATTTTCAGGTCTGTGAACTATTTGACTTATAAAGTCTTCTTAATTTACATTTTCCTCAATTCCTTCTAAGTTTTAAAGGGCGTTCATCTTTTATATGTCGATGTAACTCCAAATTTATTGTTTAAGATCAAACATCTCCATTAAGAAGCTGTTGTTTTCCTTTAAAATTAACTTATCTTCTGGTTTGAGCCATGACTTTTAGAATACATATGGGGAGTCTATGGTTATTTCCCTGCAATTGAATCCATACTTCTCCATTCATACTTATCGCATATGCTTATAGGACTGCTTAAACGTACTTCTCTTTTCTGGAAAATGCAGAGCCTTTCACAGTTCAATCTTCCTGTTGCTCTTCCTGGCTCACAGCTTCTAGGACCATCTCCCGGGCAAGGAGCTTTACCTGTAAATAACAAAAGTTTTCGCGCCAACATTATCAAGCCCCGAACGAGCGAGGTTGTTTTCGGACCAAACAGTGGTGCTTTGGGAGGTTCCACAGAGGGAGCATCTGATGTTTATGATCCAGATCAACCTTTATGGGCGAATAATGACCCAGAAACATCTGCAGCTCTACGTGCACTAAATCAAGAGCCTTCATTGGATGTTCAATCCTCCGATTGGCCAAAGATCGAATCAACTGAAGAGCTTCCTCTAAAAAATGTCACCACCTCTGGATCTCAAACCTCGTCTGTGTTGGGAGGGGTAGGTGGCTTAAAAAGTAATTCCAAGGCAAAGAACAATTTTGGTTCTGTTGGACAAACCTCAAGTTATCTTGAACGAGACATCAGAAGTGCTAAAGCGCTAAACAGTGATGTTCCTCATCAAGGAAAACAGTTAAATGTAGTAGATGGGGATAGTCTTCTAGTCAAGGAATCATGTCTCAAGCAACAAAGTGATTCTGCTCACAATATTCGAAGACCGTCTCAGAAGGCACTTCGTACTGTATTTGTCAGTGGCATCCCTCTGAAAGATAATCGAAGGGAGGCTCTGCTTTCGCATTTTCAGAAATTCGGCGAAGTAATTGACATATATACCCCTGCAAATAGTGAGCGGGCTTTTGTTCAGTTTTCTAAAAGAGAAGAAGCAGAAGCAGCATTGAAGGCGCCTGATGCAGTGATGGGCAATCGATTTATCAAGCTTTGGTGGGCAAACCGAGACAATATTCCTGATGATAAAGGACAAGAGAATCGTGGGTTGACAGTTATTCGTCGTGGGTTGACTGATCGAGCTCCTTCTCGTCCATTTGTTCTGGATAAAGGACAAGAAAATCCTCTGGTTGCAAGTGCAAAAGAGGGTAACAACCATGCTTCTGTTACTCAACTGCCAGTTCATGATCACCCTAAGGCCATGGCTGTTAATGGACCCAAAGCCCCTCCACCACAACAAAAGAAGTTGGAAAATTTAGAGCTTTTAAAAGAACAACTTCGTAAGAAGCAGGAGATGCTTGACCAGAAACGGAACGAGTTTCGGAA